ATACTGTTTATTTTGATTATTATTATTATAATTAAAAAAAAAAAAAGATTTTCAAAAGGCAGCAAAATATCACGTTAGATCTACTGCCATGTATTGTAAAGCCAGTATAAGTGGGAAAAGCTTTCCTATAATAGTTGGTAGTGGAGCTGCTGGGAGTATAGTATCAAAAGGATTGTTGGATAAACTCGGAATGGAAATCCCACAGAAATCAACGGTAACCATTATTAATGTAAATGGACAGAAGACTTCACCTTTGGGAGAAGTAGATGGTTTACCTTTGACTATAGGAGGAATTACGATTCCATTATCTGCAATAGTTACAGAAGCAAATACCTATTATGCCATACTTGGAAATGACTGGTTGTCTAAAGTAGGAGCAGTGGTAAATTGGAGTGAATCGAAATTAACCTTTTCCTGGAAGGATCAAAAAGCAACAGTAGATGTAGCCCATAAGTATGAAGATGAATTGTCATCGGGAGAAAAAGAAGAAGAATCTGATTTGTCAGAATATGAATCTTCTGGAGATGAAGAGTTGGAAGCATTCATGTCAGAACAATCCACCAGAAGAAGACCTCCAATCATAATAGAAGATGAAGAAGACTGATTATGAAGATGACTCATATCCCCAGATAATACCCATCTACAATTTTGCGACAGAGAAAGAGAGACCATTGACTACTATGAAAGAAGAATGGCATATCTTCCAAGGAAGACATTATCCCTGTGAGTGTGGGGAAGAAGATCATCATAACCATTTCTGTTGTATATGGTGCAGAAGGATCTGCAAAGGATTTCACAAGAATTGTCATTGCAATTGGGAAGAGAAAGTACAAGCATATAATTTAAAAATAGAAGAGGAAGAGGAAGAAGAAGTACCTTATGCTATTGATGTTGGAAAGGAACTTAACCAAGAGCAAACACAACAACTCACAGATCTATTATACAAGTATCATGATATATTTGCTTGGGAAAAATCAGACATCAGAAGAAGCAATATGACCTACCATAGTATTGATCTAACAGATGCAAGACCAATTAGACATCAACCTAGAAGAGTGTCGCCAGATAGAAGGAAATTCATACAGGAGGAAATTCAACGGATGCTAGATGCTGGATTTATTCGTGAATCCAATAGTGAATATGCTTCGGGAGTTGTCGTGGTTGAAAAGAAAGGAGGAGAATTTCGATTCTGTGTAGACTACAGGGACTTGAACAAGAAGACTAAGAAAGACTCATACCCTTTGCCTAGAATAGATGACATATTGGAAACCTTACAAGGGTCACAATGGTTTTCATCACTGGATTTAGCCAGTGGATATTGGCAAGTGGAAATGAGACCTGAGGATATACATAAAACTGCTTTCATCACACATCATGGATTGTTTGAGTTTACCGTTATGCCTTTTGGTTTAACAAACATTTCAAAAACTAATGGATAAAGTCCTTTGGGATGAATTACGGAAATCAGTAGTAGTCTATTTAGATGATGTTAATGTATTCTCCAAGACTTGGGAAGATCATTTAAAACATTTGAAAATGTTTTCAAACATATAAGAAAGCTGGTTTAAAACTAAGTCCAAAGAAATGCCAATTTGGAAACTCAGAATTAAAGTTCTTAGGACACATTGTAGGAAAGGAAGGTATAAAAATGGCCCTGCAAAAATAGAAAAGGTTCAGAATTTTCCAAAGCCAATTAATGTAACTCAAGTACGAAGCTTCTTAAGACTGTGTAATTACTACAGAAAGTTTGTCAAAGGATTTGCAAAGAGAGCTTCACCTCTTATGGAACTATTAAGGAAGGGGGAAGAATTTAATTGGACAAATAGACATCAGCAAGCTTTTGAAGATTTAAGACAACAACT